GAGCATACAGATGCGAGAAGTGGGGCCGGCCCCTCAGGAGCGCACAGTTGAATGGCAGGCCTCAGATAACGCGAAAGAAGCTAGGGTCAAAAGCAGAGCTTGACGGGTACAAGATAGAAGCGAAGGCTTCAGGGTTTTCAGGATGAAGGGGTGCTGTTCGTGGGAAAGATGGTGGTGTCTGCGTGAAGCCCAGCCCTGTGACTCAGGGTCCGGGGTCGAGGCCCAGCCTCCCACCACCACGCGCTCACCCCTCCGGGTCTCGGGTTTCTCATCTAGAAGATGCAGACGGTGGATGACTTCTACCTTATAGAATTGCCAGCGGGATAAAATGAAAGAGTGCGCGTGAAGCGTTTAGTCCCACGTGAATCCTCGGTAACTGCCGAGCAGAGCAACGGCTGGTTCTTAGAGAGTCTGTGAAATCCCAACAGACAGGGCCTGGAGGAGAGGCCACCTCAGGTGCAAGGTCGATGTGAGCCGGGCACAGAGCGCGGAGCGCGGGCATCTTGGGGGTCCGGGATGTGACCCAGCACTGACTGCAAGAGAAGGGGACTGCCCGCCTCTGCAGGTCTCTGGCCTCCTCTGCCCGTCCCTGCCGGGCCCCTGCCGTGACATCTGGCGTCGGGTACCGCTGGGTCACTTTCAGAGCTCTCTGTTTTCTCATTTCAACCCCACAGTGGCTTTCTAGGATATTCTCAGAGCCGCACGGTGGAAAAATTAAAAATTGATTTCCATGGTGTCCCGTAGTCAGTGGCAGCAGGCAGCACGGGCACGAGGTGCTTTCCGCTGCCCGGCGCTGCCCGGTCAGGCCCCTGGACCGCGTGAGCTGGCAGCAGGCTTGACAGAGGCATGGAGTCCCTGCGGTGCCGTCATTGCATCTGGCCTGACACAATGTTCAGGTCTGGTCTTAATTAAGGAAGCCTGTCTTACTGAGCCCCGCCCTGGCTCGGTGCTGGAGTTCCCATGGCAGCTACCTGCAGAAGCTTGAGTCCCACAGGAAAGCCCCGGCGCCGAGCCAACTGCGCAGGTGTATTCCCATCGGTGGTGTCTGGTAGGAGTCAGCATGGCCGAGAGACCAGATGGCCTCGGTGTGTGTGCGGCACGGCCAGGCGGGCGGGGCGCGGCCCAGGGGCTGCAGGTGTGTGCAGGGGCGTCGCACACAAGCCGGGAGCCGCACGTGGGTGCTGGCTGGGAGTCGAGGCCACGGGTCAGCCAGCGTTCCTGTGAGGCACCAGGTGGTGGTGCCACTAGGGCTTTGCAGGTCTCTCTCGCATTGTTCAGCTCACCATTGCAGCGCAAACAGCCACAGACCCCTGAGCTAACGGCCAGCTCTGCTCCCACAGAGCCCTATTTACAGAAGCAGGCACCGGTGCGGTACAGCCCTGGGCTGCAGCTTCCCAGCCCCTGGCCTAGGCTGGGTTTTGGAGGCCCAGACCTTTCCTGTGTCGCTTTGCGCAGAGGCAGACCTCTTTAACTGCTAATTGTGGAAGGAGGCCTGTCTGAACTCTTGGCAGTAATGGGCATATATGCATATAGCTCATTTTTATTGTGCTTCACAAATAGCGTGTTTTTGACAGATTGAACGTTTGTGACAGTCCTGCGTTGAGCAAGTCTATTGCCACTATTTTCCTAGCAGCGTTGTTCTTTAATGAGGTACAATGTGTTTAGACATAACGCTATTTCATACTTAACAGACTACAGTAGAGTGTAAACGTAACTTTTATATGCACTGGGAAACCAGAAAATTCGTGTGACTTGCTTTATTGCAATAATCACTTAACTCTGGTGGTCTAGACTCGAACCCGCGGTATCTCCGAGGTCTGCCTGTTTAAATGTATAAGTAAGGAATACTTTTGAAAGAAACACTTTCTATTAATTTTAAGAATATACAACTTTTAGAGCTAGGTTTGCTAAATTTTTGCCTCATCTGAGGTCCTTAGTGGTCTGTTTAATTAATAGATTAAAATCGTTTCTAATTATGAACATAACTTGGCATGAAAGTGGTGTCTGCAAAGTTCCCAAGAGCTTCTATTTCTTGAAAAAAAATGCCCCTAATTTTTCCGTGGGTAAACTTTTCTTGAGGGTTTACTTAGCCGCCTCTTTATTTATTGACAGCTCAAAGGCAGGACTTCAGTCTCAAGTCCTTTTTGAAGCATCAGGTATTCTAAATCCGTAAAATCTGAAGTAACGAGGTTTGCTTGATACTTTGAAACTTGAGCGGCTTTGTTTAGATGGAGACGCTCTTTGCCACCCCGACTTCTTTGGCCATTATCATGGAGCTTTTCTGGGTTTTCTCTTTTATCCTCGGAGCTTCAGTTGACTCCATTTGTACTCGTCCACAGCTACTCACCAAGGATCGCAAGCAACGCCTGGGCTGCAGGGCCGAAGGAGTGGCTGAAGTCAAGGGACACCCTGTGTTCAGGGACATTAACTTCAAGAGGCTGGAGGCCCACATGTCAGACCCCCCTTTCCGTCCTGACGTAAGTGTGTTGCCAGAGAGCAGCGGGGTGTTGGGGTGTCTGAGAAAACGGATGTTTTCCAGGTAGGTTCAGGACCACCCGTCCCAACCCCAGTGCCCCCTGGCCCGTCCTCACAGGCCCTCCCGGCCCACTGCCGTTCTGGCTGGTGGAGCCCACCTAGGTCACTGCCCTGCTCAGAAACCTCAGCAGCACCCGACACCCTCCCCGGGGCGCCCCGCCAGGGTCCCCACGTTTCCGCGGCCCCTTCCCTCGCCCGGAATGCGCTTCCCCACGCCAGGTCTCGCGAGGTCCTGGCTGCACACTGAAGGCCCTGGAGTGGCCGCTCGAGCCTCCTGGTGAGCGCGTGGCGGGGCCCACACGAGGCCACGTCCCCAGTGCCCAGCAGGCCCAGCGCACGTCGGAGCTGGGCCGGAGCAGCCCCCTCTTTGGCCTTGAGCTGCTGCAGGCCTGTGCTGGAAACGTGGAGATTCGATCATTCCGCAGGATATGATGGGGCTGAGACGTGCGGTTAAAATAGTTGTAGTCGTACAAGTCAGGGTTCATTATGTTTACGTGGAATGTGTTGTGACAGCAGCTTCTCCCTTTGCGCTCGTTCTCTCAGCGCCCTCCCACCTGCTCCAGGAACTAGAGTCACGGGGAGGACCAGCTCCAAGACAAGGAAAACCCAGCCGGGGCTTCTCAGAGCCTTCTTTCCACCAGGCCCTGCGTGCCGCGGGCTGCAGCCTTCCCTGAGGAGGGCGCCAGCTGGGGAGTGAGGGGCAGAGGCGCTGGGGCTGCTCCGGGGGTTCTCCTGCATTTAACCAGAGGGCCCGGGGGGCCTCTGTCAGCAGCGTCTGAGGACGTCAGGTAGCCTGGCAGGGGCGCAGGATGGGGTTCTGGCCTGGGCTCGGGCCTCCCCATCGTCCCCTGCACCGTCTGGCGGCTCCCACCTCCCCGCTGCTCTCAGAAGTTCTGACCACGGACGGGCCCGGGATCGGCACGCTCCTTCCTTGTCGTGCACAAGCTCGGGTGCTCAGAACATGTGTCCCCAAGCCCTGGCTTCCCTGCTCCAGAGGCTGCGGCCCGGGCTCCACACGCCCCGCCTGCTGGCCTGACTCTGCGCCTGAGGACGCCAGTGCCCGATGGGGCTGGGGGCCTGGGGGCCTGGGGTCCTTCCCAGCGCAGACGGGGGCCAAGCAGGCGGACGGCACGTGCGCGAGGGAGGCCGAGGGCTGGAGGCTTCCTCTGCCGTGTCCCAGCAGGGGCACCCCGTCTGCCCTTCTCCACCTGCAGCCTCTGCTGTGGCCCGTTGCCATGCAGGAAAGAGAAGGGGGGGCCTCGGGAGGCTTGTGGGCGAGAGAGTGGGGAGCTGGAGCAGACGGGCCGCGGGGCCTGTGGCTCTGGGGGTTCCTAGAGCGAGGATTGGACGTGCTCCACGCCGGGAGGGATGGCGAGGAAAGGAGGGTGCAGGTGTGCGTGCGGCGGCTTCCCAGACGTCCTGAGCGCCGCTGAGGGAAACAAACACAGCGGCGGCCGTCTCAGCCGCGCCTCTCTGTTCTCTGTAACAGCCGCAGGTGGTTTACTGCAGGGATGTCCTGGACATCGAGCAGTTCTCTACGGTGCAGGGCATCCGCCTGGACAGCAGCGACTGCACCTTGTACAGCCAGTTCGTCACGGGCTGTGTCTCCGTCCCCTGGCAGAGCGAGGTACTGCCCGTTGCAGCACGGCCCACCTAACTAGTTACAACGACCAAGAAGAACCTTATGTGTGTAGAATGAACAGTTTCCTCTTTAAGATATCTTTTTAGCTATTTTACATACACACCCATTTGTGTGTGCGCACACGTGTGCATGTTTGGAGGTAAAATTATATGTGGCAGCTGCCCCTGGTCCCTTCACAGGGGGTGGACAGAGGTGGCCCTCTCGGGTCTGCTGGGCTTCTGCCGCCCTGAGCCCTGCTCCCTGAGCGGGGCTGGCTGGACGGGAGTTCACTGCTTTGGGGGCCACGTTGGCGGCCACGTGACCTCCCCCAAGAGGAGGTCAGGAAGCAGGGGGAGTAGGAGCCGAGGACGGGGGCCGGAGTGGCCGCCGAGCGCTGGGCTGGGGGCCGGGTGTGCGATGCCGACCGGCCGCGCAGGGCCTCCACCACTCCTCTGTCCTGCCCTTCTGTGGGTGCAGATGATGGAGTCTGAATGTTTCAAGGACGTCAACGAAAGGGGAAATGTGGCATTAGATCCAGAAGAGAAGACGTATCCGCCAGCTCCCAGACAGAAGAGAGGTGTCTTCCGCAGACTCTTCACTCGAGGGGTAAGGGTGTAACACGTTCTGTTGTTATTATTATCACATTATAATATGATGTGTTAAAAGGAATATTTCACCAAGGTAAAACTTCCTTTGTTCAGCTTTGTTTTTTCAGTGCCTCTTATATAAGATAATTTACATAGTTTGAAAGCCAGCCATAAGGTGCAGTTTGAGCCCAGCGAGAAGAATCCTCACAGTGGTGTTTGTTATTGCTATGAAAACTGTTCTGATGCAAAAAGAAGAAATGGCTTACAACACTCGAAAGGAGATCGTCTGTCGATGGCAAAGCATTTCACACTAGGCTCAGAAATCAGCATCTTGTAGAGCAACCATAAAACAGTGCACATCATTTCAATTTCTGCCTTACGTGTTCTGATTCTTTTTTTTTTTTTTTTTTTTTTTTTTTTGGGTCTTAGCTGTGGCACGCGGGATCTTTCTTTGGGGCACACAGGCTTCTCTCCAGTTGTGGCTCAGTAGTTGCGGCACGCAGGCTCAGTTCCCCCGTGGCGTATGGGATCTAGTTCCCTGACCAGGGATCACACCTGCGTCCCCTGCATTGGAAGGTGTCATCTTAACCGCTGGATCACCAGGGACGTCCCCATGTTCTGATCCTTAGAGCTGTCACGTCTTTCACCGCGATCACAGGGAAAGCTGATTTTCTTTTGAACATGGAAGAGTGGTTTGGAGAGACTTTCTGTGGTAGCATTAAATTTAGGAATTTTTTCCAAGTCTCCTTGGACCAGTGGATTATCCTGCCGTGAACCCCGTCTGTTCCCGAGGGATTTATGCCGAGGTTGTCCACTACCATCCATGGTTTTTCAGTATAAACCCAGAGTGTGTGACCACGTTTCCTCTGCAAACTGGGGGCTGGGCGGGAGTTAACTCCGTCCTTCTCTGGGGCCGAGTGTGTCTCGGTGCGAGTCGTCTCCTGTCCACACCGTGGGGGCCTTCAGGGAACCTGCGGCCAGTGGAATCCATACAGTCGTTCCGGAAGGAAGGAGGCGCGCACCCCGTGCTGCTGAGCTGGGTGGTGAGCACGGGGTGAGGTACGCAGCGTGAGTGCAGGACGCATGGGTGACGCCGTCTCTGCGTGAACCAAGCAGCCTGCAGGACGTGAAGCACACGGGAGCAAATTTAAGGGTTTCCCTGCCTTGAAGTCAGCACCCCGCGCCACATTTTCACGTCCACTTAAGGCAGGTCAGCGACTTGCATCAGAAAGGCGCCTGACAGGCCTTGTGCCGGTCTTGCGGGCTGCATCAATGCCAGCCCCAGCGAGAAGAAGGGGCTGGCCACCAGACGGCGAGCGCTCGCTGCACAGCCGGCCGGCGCCACGGAGCCCGTGCCCTGGGCTGCATCTTGCCCGTGAACTGCAATAACCGCGCGTGACACACCCTGAAACGTGCCTGATGAGTCTGTCCATTTTTCTACTTTGGTACCTGAATTGTCTTTTCACTAAAGCTGGATTGAGGAAAAGGCCCCTCGAGGACTCGTGACGCCCAGAAAGCCCCAGCTGCAGACGCCTTGTGGTGGGGACTCCGCGTGTCCCCGCGGGGAGGAGGGGAGAGGCCTGGGTGCCAGCCCTGCGGCCTCTGCGCCGAAGGCCCTGCTCCTGGCCCGAGGCTCCTCCCACGCTTCTCCCGTGGGTGGGCGTCGGTTGGAAGGTCTTGGCCCCTTTCGCTTGGTGTTCACCGCTCCCGTGCCTCTCACCGAGATTCCCCGGTGCTCCTGTCCATCCTCTGAAGGAGGGTGTTGTCAGGACCCTGAGGTCAGGGCTTGGCTGTCGGGGGCCGCTCTCCCTACCCCTGCAGTGTTGGACAGGTTTCTGTGGCCGCGGCCCGTGAGTCTCCGGGGGCTGGGATCCCGGAGCCAGACGTGCTGGAGGGGCCCTGGAGGCGGGGCGAGGGGGCGCCCGGTGTGCACCGGGCCTCGGCAGGGCCTTCTGGGGCCAAAGCGGCCTTTGGCAAGGTGAGAGCTGGTGGAGGGAAGAGCCGGGAAGCCTCCTGTGTCCTGCGACCCCGCTGGCTGCCCTGCCTCCGCGGTCAAGGTCACTGTCCCTTGGCTTGCCGGGGAGCCCTTGCCACCTGCCGTGTGGGATCCAGGGGCCCGACCTCGGAGACTGTAACCAAACAGCAGGGACTTGGTCCCGATCCTGTGACACCCGGGAAGCCACCGTCAGGGCCTGGCCCCGCGTCGCTGTCTCCAAGGGTCATCTGCCCCACCCAGCACGTTCCGAGGTGTGGTTTGCATCTGCGCTGATGGAGCTGTATGCCACATGCTGGCTGCAGTGGGGAGCCCAGTAGCCTGGAGGCCTGTGTCTAGAGCAGAGTCCCTCCCAGGCGACGTACCACGGACCAGGTGAGGGGAAGGGGGAGCTATCTGGGGTCTGGGGCCTTGGTTTTGGCGGGAGGGAAGTGGCTCGGCCTCTCCCGATTGAGCCCCTGGCCCCCACCTCATCCTGCCTCTAGAGGGAAGGTGGCAGGAGTTCCCACCTCCTGGGGGCTGGGAGCACATGCATCAGGGTTTGGTCCACGCTACCTGCTCATAAAGAGGTTACTAATCGTGGAAAAGGAATACGTGCTCATCGTAAAAAACACAGGAGAGCGTAAAGAAAATAGGAATCACTTTTATTCCCATGTCCTGTTTACATTCTGACTCCTTCCAGGCCTCCTTCCTCCCCTCCTGGGGCCCTCCTGCCTCCCGCTATGGATCATCTGGGGGACGTGGGAGGGCCTGGCCCATCACAGGTGGGGAGGCTGGGATGCAGCCCACCTGCCTGCAGAGTGAGGAGAGGGGGGCCGCAGGGACGGCCCGAGCCTGGGGGGTCGTCCGCATCTGGGGGCACAGCTATGGGAACCAGTCAAGTCCTTCTTTTTCTTTTCCTTTTTTTGCTTAAGCTAGTCTGAGTTGCATGTCTCCATGCCCAAGTGAGAGCCCTGACAGAGACAACAAATCCAGGTAAGAATTTTTACAGGGTATCTGGTAACTTAGTAGATTGAACATGTCTTTTTTTTTTTTTTTTCTTTGTTTCTGATTATAAGGAAATGTATATTTATTAAAGAGAAATTTGAAATTAAGACGAGTACACAAGGAAAATATCAGCCACTGTCCAGAGATAATCCCTATCAGCATTTTATTCTGTAATTTATATAATTGATAGTTGTTTCTTGCCATGTCGTTTAAATATATCTGACTGCTTCACCTTTTATGGCACATTTTGACCATCATTTATTTAAACAGTCCTAACAAATGTCTTCCCCACTTCTCTTGTTAATATGAATACCAATGGGACGGACGCCCCGCACCTACATCTTTGTGCCCACACCTCATAATATTTCTAGGGTAGATTCTCACCAGGGGATCCCTTAGTAAAAGGGTGTGAACAATTGACATAAATACTCCAAGAAAGAGCTAAAATGGTTAAAATGGTTATATCTAGAAAGCAGGTTCACTGGAATGAGCAGAAATGGAGCAGAGGAATGCTGTTTGCTTTATAAGCACTGCATTCTGACTTTATTTGTTGACCATGTTCGTGTATCATTAAGATAAAAATAAGTGTGACATTGTAAGGATTATTTACTTTCCCCCTAATAAAGCACAGCTATGCACTAAAAAAGGTATATGATCATTTTTAAAGAATATATGTTATTTGCCTTTATGAACAAATTGCCCTCCTGAAAATTTTTAACAATTTGCCCTCCCACCAACAATGTTTAACAGTTTCTTGCTAAGTTTCACCAAAAACTAAGTTTTGATGAAGACTTTCACTAGAAAGTAGGTATTTTTCTTTTCTTTTTTGTGGTAAAATACACATAACACTTACCATCTTAACCATTTTTAAGTGTACAGTTCAGTGGTGTTAAGCGCGTTCACATTGTCGTGCAGCCATCACCACCACGTGTCCACAGAACTGTTTCCTCTTGTGAAACTGAAACTCTGTCCCCATTAAACACTAACCTCCCTATTCTTCCCCTCCCCCAGCCCCTGGCCCCCACCATTCTACTTTCTGTCTCTATGGATTTGACGACTCTTGGGACCTCATATAAGTGGAATCATGCGGTGTATGTCTTTTGGGTCGGGCTTATTTCACTCAGCATAACGTCCTCAGGGTTCATCCATGTCGTAGCAGGTGTCAGAATTCCCTTCCTCTCTAAGGCTGAATCAGATTCCTTTCTGCTTCTCCATTCATCCGTTCATGGACACTTGGATTGTTTCAACGTGTTAGCTATTGTGAATAATGCTGCTATGGACTTGGGGGTACAATATCTCTTTGAGACCCTGCTTTCAATTCTTTGGGGCATATACCCAGAAGTGGAATTGCTGAGTTGTATGGTAATTCTTGGTTTAATTTTTTGAGGGGCCACGATACCGTTTTCCACAGCAGTGGCACTATCTTACGTTCCCACCAACAGTGCACAAGGGTTCCAGTTTGTCCATATCCTTCTGAACACATCCTTTTTAATGGCTTTTTGGCATTATTCCAATATTTCATTAATTTTTTTCTTTTTGGCCACACTGCACAGCTTACAGGATCTTAGTTCCCCAAACAGGGATTGACCCCAGGGCCCCTGCAGTGGGAGCGCAGAATCCTTAACCACTGGACCACAAGGGAAGTCCCTCCAATATTTTAAAGTATTAACGTTTCTACCAATTCCCTATTGTTGGACATTTACGTTGTTTCATCTTTTTGATACTATTAATATTGCTTCAATTACCATCTTTGTAGCTCCCATCTTCGAATGCTCGTCTAATAACGTCCTGAGTGACACTCCATAGGTATATATGCTAAGTCAAATGGTTCAGGTACTTAAATCTTCTCATATCATCTCATTTATTTATTTCTTTTTTGGCCACACCACGCAACATGTGAGTCGTTAGTTTCCTCCACCAGGGATCAAACCTTTCCCCCTGCATTGGGAGCCCGGAGTCTTAACCACTGGACCGCCAGGGAAGTCCCCTTTAATCTGCTGATGGATCCACATCTTTTGATGTTGCCAAATTACTCTTCAGAAGAATGACAAGACTGTATTATAACTAGCAGTTTTTGCGAGGCCTTGCTTCCTGTGTCCTTATCAATCCTGGTTAGCACTCTCTTTACTCACCTTTTCTCGGGTTCTTGCTGAATCTTACTGAATCAACTTATGCTGTTCTCATAAGTTGCTAACTCAAAGTTTCCCACCTCACCCTGGAGCATCTGAGCCAGGACTTCAGAGCCTGTGATGAAATGCCACCCAGGGTCAGACATTTCCCCTCCTGCTCTGTGCTTTGTCATCCATGAAGCGAGACATGTGGAGTGAGAGTGTTCCCTCTGGCTCATTCCTTGGAGTCAAACTTTCCCCCTCTTATGCCCCTTGAATTCAGCGCTGAGATCTCAGAGGACCTCTGCTTGGGTAGGTCCTGGCCTCTTTTCTGTTTCATTGTGTTATTCCTCTTAACTGCTCACAGCTGAGTGTAAGTGAAATTCTTTAAACACTGCTTTATCACTGGGGCTGAATTCTTACTGTTTTCCATCACATTTCTTTCCCTTCTCAACTGGAAGATGAGCCCAGCAAAGGGCCTGCATTGTGTGGCAGGGAGGTGGTGGCGGTGGGGGGCGGGGCGGCGCTGTGCTTCTGCTTTTTGTATTTCGTGTCTCTTACTTTGAGGGCCAGGCAGCATCCAAGTTGTGATTTTAAATAGGAAGGAGCATTTCCAGTCTTGATTTTCTAATAAGGAAACAACTGGGCTTTGGAGTTTTTGCTGAGGAAAAAACATAGCTCTCCTACTGGGAGGAATGTCATACCCCATGTAGACCTCATTTTAATTAATATAGCAGTCAGTGCTGGCCAGGCATCTCCTTCAAGAAGTCCTCCTGGGACTTCTCTGGTGGTCCAGTGGTTAAGACTCCGTGCTCCCAATGCAGGGGGCCGAGGTTTGATATCTAGTCAGGGAACTAGATCCCACATGCATGCCGCAACTAAAGATCCTGCATGGGGCTTCCCTGGTGGCGCAGTGGTTGAGAGTCCGCCTGCCGATGCAGGGGACACGGGTTCGTGCCCCGGTCCGGGAAGATCCCACATGCCGCGGAGCGGCTGGGCCCGTGAGCCATGGCTGCTGAGCCTGCGCATCCGGAGCCTGTGCTCTGCAACACGAGAGGCCACAGCAGTGAGAGGCCCGCATACCCCCCCCCAAAAAAAGAAAACGAGATCCTGCATGCCGCAATGAAGATCCCGTGTACTGCAACCAAGACCCGGCACAGCCAAATAAATAAATGAAAACAGAAACAAAACAAACATAACAAAAACACGTCAGTCTCAATGCTTTAAAAAAATAAAAATAAAAGAAGTCTCCTGACCCTCATTCCCAGGCCAGGTGAAGGGCCCCTCCCTGGGCTGGAGCTTATACAGGGGATCAGAGACACGGTTGTAGCCTTCTTGTTGTTCATCTTCTAGTTACCAATAACTAAGGGTAATGTCTTAGTCTGTTTGGGCTGTTACATCAGAATACCATGAACTTGGTGGCTGATAAATGACAAAAATTTATTTCTCACATTTCTAGAGGCTGGAAGTCTGAGATCAGGGTGCCAGCAAGGGTGGTTTCTGCTGAGAACCCTCTTCCGGGTTGCAGACTGCCAACTTTTTGTGGTACCCTTACATGGCAGAGAGCAGAGAGGGGAAGCAAGCTCTCCCATGAATCTTATAAGGGCACTAATCCATTCATGGGGGCTCTACCATCATGACCTCATCTAATTATCTGAGTAATGGACAAATAACATGATGATTTAAAATGAAAGTAGAGTGAACCACAGAAAGATATTGAAGAAAATCTTCATCTTATTACTGGAGACTAAATTACCAGGTTCCCAAGAGATAGAACTTATGACATTTTGGTCACAGTACAGTACAAAGTACGGTAATAGAGGCGGCAAAGAGGGGAGGAATGGAAGCAGTCAAGAGAACAGAAAATAGTAAATAAGAACAAAAAGGATC